AAAAAAAAAAAAAAAAAAATACAAGCGCGCCCTTCCCCCAAGGTGCCGCCCCAAGCACGTGCTTGGTCGGCTGGTGCCTGGAGCCAGCCCTGCCTACTAGTCACATGAGTAAGGTTGCAGGGTGGATGTGGCCCTGAATTAGATGAACATTGCAATCAGAAGTGGTTGAAAATTTGTAAACACTCTTCATGAAAAAGATTCAACATTTTTCAGGAAAATAATCATTAAACTTTTGTCCTTTTGAAAACTATTGATCAGCTCTAATCACAGTGATGGTAGATCACAGCGGCACCCGCAGGTTGGTCAAGTAAAGGAAAGGCATCCGTAAACAAAGAGAAGGGATTAATATTCTTGTGAGCCCACAGCTGTTTCAAATAGCAGATTCCACACATTATGTTATCTTGTAGATTTTGTGCTGGTGGCTCTTAATATTTTCCACTCTGATGAGGCACCAAATGTGAGTGTAACCCACTCATGAATGTGTGTTAAAGACCCTCCCCCATCCACCACTCTGTGCTGATCTGCAGAGAATATAGTTGTTGCAGCCATTAACTTCAAATCCTTGGCTCGTTACCTCAAATTGTAGCAGCTCGTTCTTTTAGCTCTGCACGTCTCTACTTCAGTCCCTGGAGGTGGCCAGCTAGGGTGACCGTACAGCCCGTTTTGCCTGGGATAGCCCCCTTTTTAAGCCTTGTCCCAGATGACCCAACTTTTTTGGAAAACTGGGCACGTGTCCTGCCCCCCAAATGGGATACATGCCTAGTTTTGGCAAAAAAGTGGGGCGTGCCCCCCTAGTGGGGCATGGAGGAACATTGGGAGGGGGGACGCGATGACACCATATGCTGGGCCTTGGGCTATCAGCCCCAGCCCCGGGCAATGGTGCTTGAGCCATCCCTGCACTGGGGAGAAGGGTCTCAGGTTGTCAGGGGCTCAGGTTATCAGCCCTGGGTGGTGGGTCTCGGGCGAGCTCAGTGCCGGGGTAAGGGGCTCAGATGAGCCCCACTGTATGGGGGCCTCGGGCTGTCAGCCCCAGGCCTGTGCATGGGGGTGGAGGGGCCCTCGGGTCAGCCCCAGGTGATGTACCGTTTTCCCTTTGGCCAGCCGGGTCCCAATTCAACAGTCCATCCTTGTTCAAGAAGGCCTTTAACCCCATGCTTAACTTGAAGCATATGCTCAAGTGCTTTGCTGGATCAGGGCCATAGTGCCACCTGGGTGAAAATCTCTCTGAAAGAAGGGGGCTTTTGATGAGCGCTTGAGTTTCAGTCAGAGGTGAGGGCATGAGTTCTCCCAGGGTGGCAGCCCCTTTGGGCATTGCAGAGCTGACCAAATGTGTTTACAAGATGATCTGTTACTCACAGAGCCCCCTGAAGATACCCAGGGCGCTTAAGTGGCCACTGGAGAACAGACCTACTTATAAACAGTACCCATATTAAAATGGATTTTTTCCTGTGAGATCCGGCCCGAGCAAGTCTAAAAGGCTTTTTGCAGACAGTAAATCACTTCATGCCCTTGGAGCTCCGAGCATCATTTACCCTAGCTCATGTTCCAGGCGCGGACAGGAGGAACACATCAGTAACTGTGATGTCCTCCTATAAGGCCAGCTGAGGAGCCAGCTCCAGAAGGAAACTTTGGTCTTGATCTCTGGCAGAGACATCTCTTCAGATGGTTTTGCAGCGGACAAAGGGCTCTGTTTCCTTTTTCCACTCTATTTGGCACTGCAATGGTTTTGAAAGAGCATATTTGCCTTTTCCCAACCCCAGCCGCAGTTTTTATTTTGTAAAGAATTTTCTTTAAAAGAAAGCTTTGATTCCTCCTGCACTCACATCTGTACTCCCTTGAGTCAATGAGGGGGGCCTGAGAACTACAGAACCCCTTGGTTTTGTGTTCTCACCCTGGTTTGAGGATGCATTTCCGGAGGCTTGATCACATCTCCCAGGAGGAGGAGGTGTGCTGTGTCGGTATTAATTTCAAGAGAAACAGAAGGGGGCGGGGGGAATCCTCATCATGATGTGTATTTTGTCTACGACAATCAGGAAACACAACAGACATGTCTCACCAACAGCTTCTGCCCTGCCTCTTCATTGGTCTAGGTTCAATTTGTATTTCCAAGGCATGGGAAGAGAGACATTTTGCAACCCCAGCAGAAATGCTTGTGCAGTGTTTATCTGATAGGCTAAAGGCTTTGAAGGCCTGCTTTGGGAAAGAGCTGGAACAGTTCATAACTCAGATTCAGCTGAAAGGGTGAGTGTCTCCCTTCCGAGAGACAGATTTCTTTTTCTCTTTTTGCTGGAGCAAGATTGTGTTTTGTACCCAGCTCAAGGGTCAAATGCAGCCAGGTTGCCACAGGTCACTAAACATAATTTGACTCCCTGGCCAGGGCATGAAATGAGGTTACATTATGGTCTTTTTTTCAGTTTATATGATGGTATCTCATTTTATATCATCAACTGCTTAGGCTCATTGCATAAATCATCACTGGGAATAAGCAATTTTTCCAAGTCACAACAGAAACCATTTGCTAAAATGCACAGGGACACATTGCCTGGCGTAGCGGGGAAAACAGTCATGGTGATTCTGTACCAAATGGGTCACGGGGACTGTGCAGAAAGGAAAGGCTGGCACGTGATATATATCTCGGCACCACTGCATAGCTACCAACATCCTCTTCACACCAGCAACAGGCATGCTGGCATTTGTGCATGGGAAAAGCATGTGACTGTAACAGCGGTGTGACATACCGGACCTGATCCAGAGCCCACTGAAGTCAA